TCTGGGAGCAGGAGTTCAAGCTTCTGGTGACGCAACAGTCATAGCCGTTGGAAACAAAGTCATTCTCGGCGGTCTCGTATTCCAAATCATAGCATTTTTCTTCTTCCTTTACATGGCCTGGCGTATCGGTTCCCGTTTCGAGAAAAGTCAAGAAACTCATCCGAGTAGCCTTCGTTATCCGGAACTCGAGAGGGGATGGAAGAAGTACTTTCGAGCTTTATACGTAGTCAGCGTACTACTCATTATTAGAAACTTGATGCGTGCGGTTGAGTATGGACAGCAGGCAAGCGGTGAAGGATTTTCATATGCTACGAGAAATGATGATGGAACTCTCACTTATGTCGGACACCGTTCCAAGAAAATCGGAGATATAGAAGCGTTACTCTATGTGTTTGATGCTGTGCCAATGTTCTTGGTGGTTTTGATATTCCTGATTATTCATCCGGGGAAATTCATCAAGAGGGCTCGTGTTGTCAAGGGGGAAAGATTATCAGTCACTGAGATGGAGGCTTTGACGAAATAATAGCGGTTACTGCTAGAGAAAAACGAGCATATGGTCTCACAACAGTCACTCTACGGGATTGGATATGCAATAGTTCAATTTTTTTGTTATTTCATTTGTACATAGACTACTTTCATTTGTACCTATCGCATTTCCTCGCCTAACCTCCTTCTTTCGTACTATTCATCGTGTTCAATCTTGACCCACTGCTACGATTTGAAAAGATGTGTGAACACTTGAATACAGTATATCAGGCCAATTTCGCAGATATATGTCAATAAGTACGACTTCTACAATTTCTCGATGGAGAGTAAATATTTTGCGTAGGAGGATTCTATGTTTGAGATATGAAGAATGTCCCTCCATACGGGGAAGAGTTTCGGATCCCAAACCCGCAATTCAAGAATTGAACTGCTTCGATGCTGAGGGGCAGAAGGTACTCCGATCGCTGCGCACAAAATATCCTGAAGACTATTGCAGTGCAAGCGAGATTTCAGATGGATTCATCAGTATGACTCTCCAAACAACATTCTATCACGCAAGGGGCTCATCACTCGGTTCCTCTACTTGATGTTCTTGTTAACGATGCTCTGCATCTCCTTGACCTGATCACTCCCGGTTCCCTTATCCGGGGCTGGGACTACATTCTTGACCGTGATCAAATTTTGTTCTTCTCTCCTAGTAACGGTATATTTACCACCAGACCATGTTTGGATATTGGCAATGATCTTGTACCCAACTGAGTCGGGGATTCTTCCGGCGCTCTTGGATGTGCAAGTTGCAACTGTGCCGTTTTCGTACTTGGCGCTGTAGTTTAGACGCATGGCTAAAGAGTTGGTTGCAAAGAGTATGAAGACGAGGAAGAAGAGCTTGAAGATCTGTATCTTGAGGATGAGTGGTTCTGGAAGGTAGACCGATGGACGATGGATTACGAAGAGTGGTTGGTTTGAGAGTTGTTTTGAAGATTTATCGAAGTGATTGGTATGTTGTCAATGAGCTTCAGTAATGTACTTTGGTTCAGTGATGTTCCTGTAAAAGATTAGAAGAATCTTTTTGCAGTGGGTGGTGAGAGACACTTATATCTTCATCGAGGTGCTGTGTATTCGCACACATCATGTACGGCGTGTATTGATTTATAAGATCGCGCTGTTTACGCCAGTCTATGAAACCAAAAAAGGTAAAGAAAGTTTTATCGAAGGGGATCTTCTGACATACAATTCGGAGCGTAACTAGACACGGTATGCTATAAACATTTTACGGTGAATTCTGGCGAAGAAGGTCATCTTAAGATGAGATAGCTATTGCCCGTAATTTGCATGAATATACCGTAGACTATATCCTCCGTCGTAGTTCGAATGAGGGTGCAACTACGGTCATTCCAAGATTCGTTTTGTACGGCACTAATTCAGATCATAGGGCAATCCCCAATAATGAGGTATTTCCCATTGAACTTGCAATATAACTTTTTGTGGAGAGAATGCTGGATGATATCGTCACAGTGTGGGAGTAGAGGATGAAGTCAATACCCCTCCTCAAACGAGATTCTCACGTTACAGCTTGCTCGATAAAACTTTCATCGCAACCTCTCGTCTAAACAACGAACATAAGAAGTCCCCATTATTTCATACCTTCAGATCCCTCGACTTCTGATGGCTTAAAGCTTAGCAAGGGAACTTTCTAACAAAATGGAATACGGACATCATTTGCACTTCATACTACCTTTCAATTCTACCGAGACTTGGTAGAAGTATCTCCTTGAATGAAATGTGTATGACTCTAGACAACGATACCATCTGAAATTACAACAATTGAAACTGATACAGAGGTTTCTCGAAATTCTCGAAGAAATCTATGCAGCTTGCAGTACTTTGATATCTCCGTCTTTGCAGCGTTTGTCAGCGCCTTTTTTCCTGACTTCATGCGTAAAATATGGCTGCTAATCTGTTGCTTCTCCTCCACTAGGCTTGTACCTGTATTCGCTTGATAAAAGATGAGTTCGAATTTGTGAATTTATAAAATGTGACATGGATATAACAGGGAAGTACCTACCAAACACTAATCGGGAACATCCTCTGTTTTCATTTACGTATTTAATGAATTCTAATTAGGTCTACAATCCTTCTCATTTGACTGTGATTCTTGTTCGTCAGTGGCACAAGCATCCCAAATTAGCTTTATTTGGTACTAGCGGAGGCCCTATAAATATAGTAAGTATATTAATAAACGGGAGGGGAAGTCAATTTTTCTTTCTTCTTTAGAGGTTTCGATTACTATAATGCTACGAGGGCGTGTTTTTGATGAGGGCCCGGGTCCGTGCGCAAGTACTTTTCACATCAAAAATCACCTACTTTAGAATTCAATATTAAATTTAATTAATATTATTATATATTTGAAATTCTATATATAAATAGATTTTAATATAAAATTCTATAATGTGATTTTAGATTTTTTATAAAACCTTTCAATCTAATTAAAATCCATATAGAGTTATTAGGATTTAAAATTGTTATTAAAAATAATATTTATTTTAAGGATTGATATTCTATATAAGATTTATTAATCAATTTCTCATCAAATTTAATAAAATTGATATTAAAATAATTATTCATTAAATCTCTAAATATCTTCTAGCTTTCAAAACTATATAATAAATATTCGAATTATATTTTATTTATAAAAATAGAGAATAAAGTATACTTTTGGTAAGGAAATTCGCTTAAATTCAATCCGGGCCCTTATCAAAAACACGCCCTCGTATACTCAATTTAATAACGTGTTTTAAAAATCTTAAATTTTAGTACTTTATCAAAAACATTTAAATATTAGATTTTCTAATTTCAATTTACAATACCTTTATCAATTATAATCTAATTTAATTGAAAATTTGATTAAATGATAAAGAATAATGAATTATATTATTTATATATATTGTTTTTATATAAAAATAATATAATAATACATCTTTTTATATATATATATATATATATATAGTTCTATATTCATATAGTATACTGGGAGCGAATCACAGGATCACCTGACCAAGTCACCTGATCATATCACGTGATCGTCGCTTAAGGCCCTTAGCCTAGAACGGCCGGAAAATCGATTCTTTATTAGCTCTTTTAACTCATATATAGCTAGGTTAATATAACTATAGTGAAATCAAATAAGTATATAAATAAGAGAATTCACTTAAAGGAATTCACTTCAAGAGAATGACTTCTATATAATAGCAACTGTATTAAAGGTATTTAGGCGAAAGCGAAGGAGACTAGCTCTTTTAGTAGTGCCTATATAAGGCCTACTATTCCCTTCATTTAGCTAGCTCCTTAGATTAAATACAAATAGACATTTAGGGGCCTATACATAGTAGGAACTACGTCTTCTATATCTCTCTCAAACTAATAATAAGAAATAAGAAAGAAGAGCTTGATTTAATAGAATAGTCGGAAAAGAAAGAGATCTACGAAGGTGGAAAGCTAGGTGAAAAGCTATATTAGTAGGAAAAAGTATAAAATAAGGCCTTTCCCCCTCGAATATAGAATAAGAAATAAGGAATATTATATACTATTTTATGAAAATTACGTATTTTAAAGCTATTTAATTGTTAATACGAGCCAGCTTCTCATAATAGACTAATACTAGTCTAATCTCTCTTATATTCTATATATATATTATATACTCATATACTAGCTCATGACCTACAATAATATAATTTTTGATTATTTCAAATTGTTATTAATCGAATTAGAAATTTCAAAGTAAAAATTTGAAAACAGTTTGAAAATATATTAATTTTTAATCTCAAAATCGAATTTATATTCTAACCACTTTTAATTTTATAACTATTCTTTTAATATATCTATAAAACTATATATCGATTTCTTTAATTGAAATATTAATTATTCTGAAAAATTTATCTAGTTTAAAGATATATTAATAAGTTTAAAAGTAATTAAAGTTAAATTTCAAAATTGATGAGGTATAAAAAATCGCTTATTTTTTTGGAAATACATTATTAAATTGAGTATATATAAAGTAATCTCACCAGCGGCAGGTTGTATTCAAAGCAGTCAGAGCCGTCGCACATAAAGCTAGAGCCTAGTTAGGGTTAGCGTTGTTTCCTTTACCCCACCACGGCGCCTGAAGAAGATTCAAGTTAAACATCGTTCAAGTTCTTCACCAAATCAACACAAGATAATTCTGAGGACTAGCTCTCGATTCTCAATCTACGATATCTATTGTGATCCCACACTTCAACAGACACTCTTTACAGGAATAGTATAAGGGAGCTGTCCACCTACCACAATCGCGCCACAATAAACAGCATACAGAGCCTCGAAACTGGACCAGACGCAATCGCAGAAATTCAACAGCGTCTAAGATATTCGAGATTCAGCAAGACTTTGTATCTCTTCCATTAATTTCACAGAGACTCTCGAGAACTTTCACTTCACTTACGTCGGCGCCCCTCATAAAATCACGATACCTAACAACCATGATATCAATAACAACCACTCCTTCCACGTTCCCCCTCTTCTCCAGCCTCGCTCTTGAATTACGCACTCAAATATGGCAAGAATCTCTTCCATGGGAATTCCCTCCAGCACTGTACTTCTACAAAAAAGGATGTTGGCAAGCCCGAATTTTCACCGAATCCGACCCAGGTTACTGCAACGAAGTCAGTGAACAATTCGGCACCGAAGACCTGAACAGAAACTTGGAATTTCGCTACGATCTTCTTGATAATTTCCACGTTCAGACACCTCTCTTATTTGTGAACCATGAGGCTCGAAAAATCACCCTCACTTGGGCACGCAGTCATGGTATCGAAATATGCGGAGATCCACTTTTCCCACGCTTGTCGCTTCCTTTCAACACCGTTAGGGATATACTTTATTTACCTGCTGCTGAAGGGTTTGATTTTTTTATGGAACCTCATAATCGAGCTTCTGAGGAAGGCATGACTAATCTAACCCATGGAGTATTCAATGAAGTTAAGCGTTTGGCTGTGCCAGAATCGGGGCTTAAAGCTTACTTCGTCATGGCCAGTTTCAACGGATTTTCCAAGTATTATAATATTGAAGCACTATATGTCATTATCAATACGCGACTGGGCTTATGTTCTATTGATGATGATTTGCATGTGCAATCGCGATGGGAGTGTGAGAGCTTGCCATTATGTACTTTTCTCTTAGACAGCAAAAGATCGGTCTTTGAACTGAAAGAGAACGGATATAATGAAGATGATCAGATACGCCTTTTGACTCAGGAGATTAGCCGACACTTGACACCTGAATTTATCACCCGCTCGCCTTCCATTCGTGAGATTCGACTTGTTTTGGCTGTCAAGGGTTAATAGAGGGTTCATGCGATGTAATATAGTTCCAGATACCACAAACCTAGAGTATCAAAATTTTATACAAGACCTTTCAAAGTACACTTTTATAGGTATGTATATTTGACTTTCCATCTTTTGTGGCAGAAAACTGCAGTGTTTATGAGATCTTTGAAGCTATGATCTGATTTCAGGAGCTGTTATTACATTTTCATTCTCAAAACTTCCACATTTCTAAAACACTGGATGCAATGATACCAAACTACATGATCCTGTGTACTCACTTGAATGATCGGCGTGGCTCAAATGACAGTCCATTTCCTTGCACAAAGCACAAGTCTATATCATGAATTCCTGACAATATCTACCGAGGTAGTTCACCTTTACTTCAGTATGTAGCGAGAGGGCACTAGCAAGGCTACGATCTAGCCTTCCTCATAATAATATTTACGACATGGATCGACAAATTAATCTCCCTCCGCTTTCATCTGCAACTTATTCGGGAAACCACCATCCTCTTCTCAACCACTTGTAATCAATTACCTGCCTCCACACAACGCCACCCATCTTCAGCCATCTTCTCGATTTCACTCACAGAAAGCCACTTTCTCTCTCGAATAATCACTATTATCGCAATGGTACGATCTCAAGCCGCCGATACTTCCACGGCGGAAGCTCGCGCCCAATCCACCAAAGCACGAGCAACAACCAAAGGCGACAAAAACAAAGAATGGGAGGTCAAAGAAATTCTCGAAGTCAAGAAGAAGTGGAAGAGTCTATACGTTCGAGCATCTTGGGTTGGCTATCGCGAAGAAGATCCAGAATGGTATCCCATCTCCGACTTCAAAACCTCGCCATACTTGTTGAAGGAGTTCTATCGGGAGAATCCTAAAGCGCTTGGTCCGCCCGCACAATTACCTGCTTGGGAAGAGGCCTTTGAGGCGGGAGAGGAAGACTATGAGCACTTGAATAGTAATAAGCCTATGAATCCGGTTTCAAAGTCCAGGTATCTTAAACAAATGTTTGAGTAATTGAGTGAGTAAAATGATGGCTTTCTTCGAGAATACTACGAAGTCAAATATTAACTCAAATGGCAGGGGATCGAATCAAAGTATACATGTGCTTGGCGAATGAAGAAATCTTGATGTCAAATATCCTTTCTCCGAATTGTTCTACGACTGTTGTGCGCTTGCTGGATAGCTTCCCTGTCGTGATTCTATGATCTGGGAACTTTGAGACGAAGAGCCATGAGAATACATTTACTGCGCATGCTACATAATTCTGTACGGGGAGGACAAACATGAAGAGCCTCTATGGTCGGAGCTGGCAGAACATGAGTCTCGATAAATCTGGAGGATATTGTCAAATATATTAGTGTTGCTAGATGTTGCCACATCAAAGTTGTCATATCAAAGTTGCCAATCAAGTAGATAAAACTTACACAATATTGCAAAATTCTCATCTAGAACACAAGTTATCACTGAATGTGAAAATGTGCAATAACGAGAAGACTACTGTTCGCTGCGTAATTTCCTCCACAAATTTCAACTAGTCCTGTTGGAGACAAAGTTTAATAGCCACGTCTAACCCTACATGAACGAGATAACTCACATCAGATCCAGTATTTCTACGACTAGGCTCCATGATATACCTCACATCCAATTCAATCCAGAACAAGTCTATATAATTGAGGGTTCTCGATGCTATCAGTATAAGGTTTCTCATTAGCGTACGACTATTTCATCCGTTGCGGAACACTAAACTAGTCTCTCATAGAAGATGCCAATCAGAGCCCCCCAAAGGTTTGTGTTGCACATCTTTGGAATTGAATTACAAGCTCTATCCTGGTAAGTATGGAATAGCCCTCATTAGTCGATACTGCCTATGAGGTTGGTTTAGTGTCTTGCGGGTAGTATTCTAGGAGCAAATATCGATAAGGGAGTGTTAAGGTTACGTTGCACATCTCTAGTTTGTTTGACAAGATTCATCCTGGTAAGTATGGAATGCTCATTACTAATTCATATTACTAGATGCTAGATGAATCAATTTTGGTCTTTCTCCCGATACTAGACTGCTCCCAAAAAATGTCAATTAGAGCCCCTCATTAGGTTGTACTGTACATCTCTAGTTGTTGCGTTACATAATTGATCATAGCAAGTGTTATTTGCCTCTCAGTACATATAGTTAGATACGGTTGATTACTGATCGATGGTCTTTCAAACTTACTATAGTACAGCTAGGTATTTTCGCCCTCTTGATTAAACGCCCAATCAAAACAATGCTTAATCATCTATAAACTACGGCCAACTAGTTCGTACCCCGCTATCCTCTACGGCCTAAACAGTACGGTCTTTGGAAATAACGAAGTAGGTAATGATTTAGTGTTCTTCAAGAATAAGCGAGTACTCAGGATTATATACAAGAACCATTCAATACCTTCTCACCATCTCTCTCCACCATTAAAAATCTTCAACAATAAGGGATCGCAACAGAAATCATTTCCCCTCAGACAAATTCTACTCTCTACTACCATCACGTCACCTTTTACAAATTACTTCATCAAAATGAACTTCATTCTGTACATCTTCACAGCAGCATTAGCTTATGACGCCATGAATATTATACTCTCTTTCTCAGGAAAAGTCTTAGGTGGCTTTTTCGAAATGAAAGAAAAGAAATTACAGCATGCTATGAATCTCAAGAAAGAGGAGTCGGAACAAGCTCTCAGCTTAGCGAAGTACAATTTTCAGGCAATCTGTGCGGAAAGGTAAGATATTGGATTCTTGATGAATATCGATGACAATGTCCTAGAGATTTACGTGCTAACAGTTATTAGAGATCTCTATAAAGATGAGCTTGCGGAGATGAAACTTAGCAATCAGCAACTTCTAAATGCTCTCCTCAAGATCCCTTTGGAAAGAGGCCCAGGAGAGGGTGAACTCGATGTTGGTGGGGCGGATGAGGGTTCTGAAGTTTTATGAGGCCTTTAGGAACCTTTATCTTATGGGTTGGGGACATTCATCGACAATGACAAGAATGTTTTGCTGTCAGGGGTGCACACGTACGTAGCACGTATCTGGGATTAAAGCTAGGGAGGGATCAATCCAGATTCCTTCCGTAGATTAACTCTTCTCTCTTCATAGTTTACAATATCAATTGAAACTATTCAATCTCTACAGGTCTTCGATGTATTCACTCCGTGACATTTATATTGTACAATATCTGATTTAATACATCTACTAGCTAGTTGACTCGATTTGAAAGTCTCTAATAGTTCAAGATATGATATAATCCACGAGAAATGACTATTATTATGTGATTAATAGTACAAATGATCAAGCGGATGAAATTTAAAATATCAAGTCAAAGGCAGTAGATAGTTTTGATCAAACTTAGTAAGCTTTTATCTTAAGAAGTTCTAAGAATTCTGCTTTTTTCTAGTATCAAGTACCTCCTAGTAAGGTTAGAAAGAAGAAAATTCCCGAACCGTTCGAAAAATAGGAAAGAAGATGAGATGTAGCAGAAGGAAGAGAATCAAAAAGAGTAGTCAAAAGAAGGAAAGATTAAAAGAACGTTACTTTGACTTTCGATTTTAGCAACTATTAATACAGTTAACTAATCGTATCTGTATACATTCTTCAGTAAACAAGATAATCTAAAATGAATATTATTTAGTAGGTTACGGCGACATAACGATACTATAAGAATTCAATAGAGATCTACAATATCTTATTGAGAATTATCTAAAAACACATCTAAATCATTCACTATATTATTTTATTCCTAAAGCCATGTTGCTAGAACATCCATGTAACAAGAACCGTATAGTATCAATCAAGCGAGCTTTCCAACTACTTTAAAGCCATCACTCTTTATGATTCCAAACCAAAATTATCTTCGCTATAACAACTTCCAACCATCCATCTACGATTTCATTCTCTCTTCCTGATTTCGATTTCCTCGAATAACACATCAGAACAACTTCATCATCACCACAACATCATCACCATCACTACCGTCTACCCACCATGTCCTTCGGCCAAGAACTAGGCAAACTCATGGAAAATTGGTACTTCATTAATATCATCCATAGAATGCTCGCAATATTCCAGGATAACGGCGAAAAGACGAACCTCCGAGCAGAACTTGAAGAGGCACAGACAAAAATCCTCAAGTTGAAGGAGAAAAACTTGGCGCTTAAGAATCGATTGGCACAGTAAGTTTTGTATTTATTAACATTTGGGATTGTGATGAAGAAGTCAAACTAACGAGTAAATAGACTTGAGACTAGAGTTGCGGGGCAATCCTTCTAATGTTGGTTTGGGGAGAGTCTTTTATCATGATATCAGACTGTTTTCGACTTTCTGTTTCAAGATTCGACGCTGCGGATTGATGGTTTAGGATTACTAGGGGGAAAGATGTCGACTTTGGTAGTGATTGGGGGGTTTGAGTGGTCGTCTTGAGCAGTCAGTATCTAAATATTGAACACCGAATGGAGGACTTCATATCGACTGTTTTTGAGGGTTCAGGAATGACTTTGTATTTTGGGAATTTCATAGCTCTTGGGAAGGGGTTACCTATGGTATAGCTTGGGCATTCACAATTGTACTGTTTTTCTGAGAAATCAGAGTCTATTTAAACACCTTTCAAAAAGGTTTCATACGTGTATTGTCCATCTCAGAATCCGCAAATTCTAGTATGTCAAAAGAACTGAAGTAATTCAAGTATATTTCGTTATCTTGGCATATACTATTTTTCAAAAATAGATGTAGAACTAAAGATCTATAGATCTCATGCCGTAATTATCTTTTTCTTCGAGGCTTTATGTTGTGAGGAGGTATAGAGGTAGTTTTTAATAAACTATCGTAAGTACGACTATACGAGTGAATTAGGAAAAATAGAAGAATGAGAATTATAGGCATGAAAACTCTAGTTCTGATATGATTCGAGTGTATATCATTCTCTTTATATAATTAAGTGCAGGCTCCGGATCTTCAATCCAAAGTACTTAGGATCAGGATATAGGTAGCTGTAACAAGAATTCGAGTAGCACATAATTCTGACTATGATAATACATAGCACGATTGCACTGTATCGATAGGATAAATCTACGATGAATACCTAGATAAATCAGAGCGTAGAATGTAGTAAGCTGGCCTACTCACTCGATTCGTATATTTGTTTATGAACCTATTAATCAAGGAGATAACATTCTGAAGATTTGATTTCCTATTCTTCGCTATCCAAAGTTCTTCTCTGCTGTATACGCACACATATGTATATTAATTTCCAGTGATCCTGGTACTCATAGCGCCAGGAAGTTCAGAGTCAGTTACCGAAATCCTAGTACATATTTTCCTTACTTTAATATTAGTATATCTAGGAATCCAAGATTCGAAATCGAACAGATTCAAATATCTCTATCTAATCGTAATTTACTGAGAGAAAAGACATCGATATCGAATTCTATTCGGAACTTTGGACTTACGAGTGACACGAATAGATGTTTATTTCATCAGTACAACAATATCGTATTATCAGCAACAGATGAGTAATATTATGATCGAGAAGACTCTTATGTATGAAAGAGTATTACTATTGATCTTTACTTCCAGAAGCCTCTGTAGATAGCCTGTTACTTGAATAAGAGGATGAGTTCAAAAGAAGACTCTATCCCATCCATCGTTTTCAGAACATCTACTTGCGACTCTCAGCTAACCTAAACTATTTCAAAGTATCCAATCTACCTGTATCAATAAATCAATTTTATTTTACATAGTTTTGAACCACGAAAAAAAAAATAACGAATGAAAAGATAACCCGAATCATGATAAGCAGCCGAAGAAGATCAATCTGAATCTTCATCTAAGCGAGCGTATATGTAGAAAACTTTAAATTGACACCTCAATGTATACACAGTTACCAATAGCTAGGTAGATAACCAAACAAACGAATCCCCCCTTCATTCTCTAGGTACCTAACACAAAGTTTCACTAAAACCAAAAAATTATTTTATTTACATCACCAAAATCAATAAACCTCATACATACCCAGAAACCCAAAACACAATCTCCGCATAAAAGCACGGGCGGGAATCCAACATCCGCCTAAACGGCGGCATTATAATTCCGCCCAGATAGAGTTTGACAACCTAGGTAGACAGCTCCCCTCACGATTGGACATTCAGATTTCCTTACCTGATAGCATCACATCTATTTCATACCTTCTATATCATTACTCACAAAAAAGACTAGGTAATACCTACTCAATGCATGCACATCTTACCAAGCATGCGGAATTAATAATTCCAGCTCAAATTCCACTAATGACGAAATACTATAAAACCTCATCCCTCGCCTCCCAAACCCATATAAAAAATCAAAACCAGAAAATCAGCTCCCTTGAAACTCACTCCCACATCATCGTTCATTCCAATTACATCTCACTTCGAATCGAATCAGCGACAGACTTTTCACATTCACATACACATACCAACACCATGTCCGATCTCCAATACTATGCATATCCCACGACAGGCGAGGAAAAATTAAAGCAGCATGGTTACAGCCAAGCTGTTCGAGTAGGCGATCGCATTGAGTGCGCTGGTCAAGGTGCGTTGTTGAATTTGCTTCTAATATATTTGTATACATATACACATCATGAAAATCCAATCCCAAAATCCAAATCCCCTTCCCATCCCCCCCTATTCACACACACTAACCCCCTCCCCCACCCACCAGGCGGCTGGGATCCACACAGCGGACAATACCATCTCGAAATCAACGCGCAAATCGACCAAGCCTTCGCCAACGTCGAGTTAAATCTGCAGCACGCGGGCGGCCTCGGCTGGAGCCAAGTCTTCCGCGTGAATTCCTATCACGTGCCGATGAGCGACGAAGCTCTCGCGGCCATGACGCGGAATTTCAAAAAGTGGATGCCGCACCATGCCCCCATTTGGACGTGTGTGGGGGTGGCGAGACTAGGGGATGAGGAGATGAAAGTGGAGATTGAGGTTGTGGCGCTGGATGCCGAGGGGGCGGAGAAGGCGAGGGAGGCGGGGAAGAGGTGAGGGATGAGGGTGAGGGGTGAGGGCAAGGGGAAGGGATAATGTATTGGGCTTGTGTGTAATGAATGAAGTTTAGAATCCAAGTAAGGATTCTAGATCCAGTTTTACTATCACTGGTTTTATATCGAACACATGATATTTTATACTTCAGCACTCACCAATTCAAAAATCATGATTACAACATCAACACTTTTTCCAGGCCACTAGGCTCATGACATCAAAAAATCCAATAAACTATCCCGCATAATCTCTTTCGCAATGAAATCCATTCCCCATCAAATTAAACTACCCAACCATTATATCTAAGCCGGATGATCCGTCCGCAAATTCGAAATATCAAAAGCACCCCCTTCAAGATCAAAATCACGAGCAGGACTAAGAATACCAGGAAACTGAGAGGAATCTCTCCACAAGGAACTTGAGTTGGCATCGTCGTTTAGCATGAAATCAAGTTGGCCCATCCACGATTCATCTCCGTCTTCTGTCGAGAAAGCGGCAGTATAGAGATCTGGATCCAATTCTTGGGCTGGGTCAGTGGTGTGTTGAAAAAAGGTGTGAGAATCACAGATACCGTTGCGATTCTCCGCGAAAACTTCTGGAGTCGGGATTGTATTAGTATCAAATCTTTCCGATAGGTTGACTGTAGAGTTTAGAGTCGTATTTGAATTCCTTTCCATCGAATTGCTTGGTTCAGCTTGTTGCACATAGATCGAGTTTGCCAGCGTCGGTATTAGGTTTGGCTGGGATACTTTGCCAACGAAACTCCACTTTAGCGGCAGTGCATCAACGACATTCCACTGTACAGCCAGCTCTTGGATCTGCGCAAGCGCTTTGCTAGCTACCGGCCACTCATTCTGTAGAGCCGTCAGAGTCTCCATGCAAATCTGGAGTCTGCGGCGCGCGAGGGATATTTGAGTTGGCGTGCGTGAGGTACTGAAGAGAAGATGCATGATGGATGCTGTGAGGATATGATGGACGATGAATGGAAGTGCCGATGTAGGTTTACCCTGCTTAACATTGCCCGAAGATTGTAGTTTGCATGTGGGTTCTGCTAGATAGTGTTTGCGGAATAAGTGGATATATTGCGTCATGCGAATTGCAGCAGATGATATCGTCGCGAAGGCAAGTGAAAATGAGTCACTTGCCGGTGGATCGCCGAGATAAGGGCGATGAATCATGAGAAGAGACATTTGGTAAGACATTTGGAGAAAGAGGGCGGAACGTGGTGGTATAGATGCGGCTGTGGAGGTGGGAACTAGCAGCCAGGATGGCATAGCTTGTTTGAATGCTAGAAGTTCTGCTCGTGCCAAGAGTAGCAGGCGACTTCTTTGGGAAAGCTCCAAGGCTTTGAATTCAAAGGAGTATCTGCTTTTATGTCAGTGCAAATATGCTTCCTGTGTGGGGGCATGTGTTACATTTGGTCCATGAATTGATCGTGCAATTGCCAAAGTCCACAATTATAGCTGAAGGCAAGCTCATCATGTGAGGCGTCTGCGCCCAATAGAGAGTGTAGAGTTGGTACTTGCACACGACGCCATGGAACTACACAACTGATGCCAAGCATGGTGGCAGCTATTCTAAAGAAAATGGTATTAATGTCGAGTGTCTGTAGAGATATTTCCATGGGCTCATTAAGATGAATGAAATCTTACCGATCGATAAAGAACAGTGACCAAAATGTTCTGAGTCGATTTTCCTGCTCTTGTTCTAAAAGTCTTTTGGAAGTGTCAGACTTGGAAAGAGCACCTAGACCAATAGCATGGAGACCAAGACCCATAGCAAGACCACCGGCCATAGCTAACGAACACAATTCAGCAAGATTATACAGGTTTGGAGAAGAAATCTTACAGATATATAGAGAGGCACAGCTATTATGCTCCTGACTCAATTCCCTCCATGCAATGATACTTAGCGCTTGAACCACCGGTAGAGACGGTTGTTCACGACAAGCCTTAACCGAATTCATATCCATGCATTCTTCAAACTCCTTCCCAGCATTCCTCTCTTCCTGAACCGTCGAAAACAGAGCTCCCGCCGCAAAAACAGACCCGTACAAAAGATCCAGCGCCGGCTCATCAAAAGGATAGAGTTCGGGATAGAGTTTATAAGAAGGGGGAATAAATTGATGTACAGGATTGAGCTGAGTTATAAACAGATTCATGAGATTTGTTTTCAAGCTCAGATTGTAACAGGCGTCGTGGATGGGCATCATGTTGTTGAATACCTGTGACCTTTTACGCGCTTCAGATCGGGCTACAACTGCATCAGCGGAGGAAGGAATGCAGAAATTACCAGATGGTCCACTGAACATGGGCTCTCCTTTATCCCCAAGGTCAAGTCTCCACACTAGTGTGGCAATATCATTAATAGCCGAAGAAGACAACGGGAGCTCTGTACGAGCCGTATTCCTTTGCTCCACGACTGAAACATTGTCTTGATGAGAAGGCAAACTTGGAGCTTTCGTCGTGTTGGCCAACGACAAAGCACTGGAAGGATTTTCGGACGACATCAAACATGAAGCTTGGCCCGCTTGCAGCTGAGCTAACTGTGCACGAAGTGTCGAGTTCTGCTCTTCCAAAACAGCCACACACTCTGCATCCCATTGTTTGCGTCTTGATACATATACAATCAGTTTATACTGATCAGCACTTGATGGTACTGAGTGCAGCATCACTCACTTGCGTGTTTCAACCGTTCCTGCATATTGACAATCCTTCTCAGATGCATTACAGAAAGTGCATGATGGGCGTAGACCATCACACTAGGAAATTTTAGCTAATGCTCTATGGGATCTATAGCTAGGTATATATATCGGGATTCCGCCCTACCTTTCGTTTTCTCTTCCGACACTCCTCACATGCTACTCCTGTACGTTTTTCTTTGCGATGTGATTCAAGATCCATAGCTATGTAGGATTGGAAAGTAACTGGCAGTATTAATTGTAGTTCATTCTCTATTCTTCTTTAATTGAATTGAATAGATAGTTGAAGGTTGAATATTTTTCTTGTTGTAGTTTAGGTCAAGTTGATCCACAAGTAGGTGCACGGACTTACAGGACAGTTTATATAAAGTATAATTCTACATTAAAAAGATAATCTTAATAAATCAATTAAGATTTATAATTGCTCTATAATGAATCATTTTAAACTTGAGATAAATAATTATTAAGTACAACAAATTTACATAATATAAAAATTTTACTTAAAAACAATTTACTAAAAACACATAATATTACATCTCAAATCTCAAATCTTATAATTCTTAATTCAACTTTAAATATATAATTTTAAAATCCTTTTCAAATCTTTAATATAATTTTAAATAATATTCAATTCATCTTCGAATTTAAATTAAATTTTAAAATTGATGAGTTTTAATATAAAATTATTCTTTCTTTTTTTTTTTCAAATCTTTTATTTTAAGAATCTATATACGTATTAATCTATTTATAGTCTTGAAATTTACTTAGTTATCTAAGTAAAAAAAAATATAAAAATATAAAAATATAAAAATATAAAAATATAAAAATATAAAAATATAAAAATATAAAAATATAAAAATATAAAAATATAAATATAAAAATATAAAAAATATAAAAATATAAAAATATAAAAATATAAAAATATAAAAATATAAAAATATAAAAATAAAAATATAAAAACTTATACTAAAAAAATTCTATAAGAATAGATACCTAGTAAGAATAATTAATAATTAATAATCTAAAAAAAAAAAACATAAAAAAAAATCCCTAGTAATTATAATTATAATTATTCCCACCTCACCACCTCACTCCTTCGTAAAACCTAACAAAAGTTCTTTTCTTTCTTCTTTCTTCTTTCTTTTTCTTTATACTATTAAAAGATTATTAGATCTATTTATAATATACATATCGATATCCTGAGTATATTCTAGATAGATATCGATGTATAATTTATTTTATCTCCTTTAAATTTTTCCTATTTTCTTCTTCTTTATAATGTTTTTCTCTCTCTTTCCTTTCTTTTTCTATTCTTTTTAATAATAATCCTATAAAACAACCCTATAAAAACAACCCTACTACCCCCCCTCTCTTCCCCTCTCTTCCCCTCTCTTCCCCTCTCACTTCCTCCCCTCATTCCTCCCCTCACTCCTCCTCCTCTCATTTCCTCTCCCCCCCCTAAACCTACCACCTACCACCTACCCATCACCCCCTATTCCTCCTCCCCTCTCATTTCCTCTCCCCCCCTAAACCTATCACCTATTCTCCTCCCCTCACATCCCTCACATCCCTCGCATCCCTCACATCCCTCACATCCCTCACATCCCTCACATCCCTCACATCCCTCACATCCCTCACATCCCTCACATCCCTCACATCCCTCACATCCCTCACATCCCTCACATCCCTCACATCCCTCACATCCCTCACATCCCTTACATCCCTCACACCCCTCATACCACTCATACCACACTACATCAACACAACACTTATTTTCATTGAGTACCCAAGTACCTGAGTACCCAAGTACCCAAGTAAATAAGTACCCAAGTAAATAAACAAGTACTTCCCTCCACTAAGTAAATAAGTCAAAAATCCAACCTACTTCCATAAATCCCACATTTCCTCAATCAAACTAAATCTAAATCGAAATCGAAATCGAAATCGATCAACCAGTGAACTCAAAGTAAAGATAAAGATGAACCCAAGTATTTAGGTACCCCCCTGCAAAGAATCTTTTTTATTATCGCATGATTTGAATACGAAGAAGTATCGAAGACATACATACACATACACATGTATATATACATATATAACAAGTACACATTACCAAATTCACATCACACTACATCCACTCTCACACTTCTCAAACCCCCAACAACACTTCAAACTTTTGTTACTATTATTTTGTTATTTCGGATTGGATACTGGATCATCCTGAACATCCCTGTAGGCGATCTCCCTCCGAGCTAACCTCCCTTACGATATATCTCCTCATTCTCCTCCTCATCGAATGATATTCTCAGCGAATAAACTCACACAAACAAACCACCAACACCATGCTATTCCATCCCATCCCATATGTATATCTGCCAAACCTAGCAATTCCCATACTCCATGTACCGATCGCTGAATGACCATCTAATAATGCTCAAATCCCATCTAGGAAATTTGAGGGGTATCATCCAATTCCATATATTCATAAAAAGCAAACACACAAAAAAAAAAAGCACAACTCCACTCCACCATTAATTAATTGCCACGTGAATAACATCCGAGAAGATCGTTGAATCATCGAGGGGGAAAGACCCATTTAAATCGACCTTTCACAAACTCAAGTCGGACGGTGTCTAAACATTGGTGGAGCTTGCGCTTGAAATCCCACAATATAATTCTTTTCCTCTCCCTCCATCGTCGTCCATTTAAGCGGTACCGTCGTCAACACATTCAAGAATTGCTCTCCATTCTTTCGATAATTGACAAGAGTAACCTGTGATTCCAAGCCACATTCGAGAGCGGTGCGAATAGTTAATTTCGCCATGGCGTTGGGATCATTCTTTGGATTTTGTATCCCCTTCATTGTGGGTGCATTGCCGAGGTAATCAAAGGTGTTGGGATTAAAAGGTTGTTGTAGGAATCTGCAATTCTTGCCGATGATTTCGGTTTGAGAATAGCCCGTGAGGCGTTGGAAAGGTTCACTGCAGTAGACGATTGGACAGTGAGGACGGGAGGAATCGCATAGGACGAGAGCGACACCGCTGTCGATATTTCCCAGGGGATATGTTGGATTTGGACGACGTTGGATTTGAAACTGGGTCATGTTAAAAACGGAAAGTGCTTTGAAGAGACTTCACCCAAACGAGAGCAAGCAAGCTGCTTCGAAGGTAGAATGGAAAACGCACCAGAATTTGTAATACATCGAAACCACTTGGAGAATACAAGCCTGGATAAATCATAGGATCGGAAGAAGCAGAATCTCGACTATCTGGTCTTGGACTTCCACCTTGTTGAATTTGTTGATCTCTCATGGCCGCATGTTCTGCATACAAGGCTTGAAGCTATTGTGAAAGGATAAGCCTCGATGCACACCCAAGGGATGTGTTGAGAGATACATGACAATGTCACCCTCTCTCACACACGAGTAAGAGGAAGGAAAAGCAAAAGACTCACCTCTTTCAGCTTCCTAAGCTCTTCTTCATGTTCCGGAGACAACATCATTTCGAACGAGTATCTTTTTTTTATTTCAACGCTTCTTCAGAAGATGTATGACTCGAGGATTGGAGGATGGTGATACAAAGAATTACTCTGTACTTCTGGACATTGGTGGTATTCTTTTTTGCTTCACCCTTTCCTTTATATCCATTCCCTCGAAATACTTTGAAAAGGTTTAGAAATTATGATTCGATCGAAGTGGGGAAGAGGAGGGGAGGGGGTTGGAATGGGTGGAATGGGTGGAATCAACATTTTGGGGTACCGTTATTTTAGTATTTGTGAATTTATAGTTTAGGATTTAGGATTTAGGATTTAGGATGTGGGATTAGGTATTTTAATATTTAGTCCTAAATACTAGGAAGGTACTAGGTAGAGACTAGGGAGATATCAGAAAGATACTAGGTACATTCTTGGATGAATTGAGAAGGGAGTGGAAATAGTGGAAATAGTGTAAAAGTATGAAAGTATGAAAGTTTAACTTTGACTGACAATCGAAGTAAGAAGGATTATGAATTTATGATAATACAGTACAGGTAGGTATATCTAACGTACCCTGGACTTTCTCTTTATCGTAAAGCTACTTTATTCATTGTATCCATGGAGTACTCTGTGATGAAAAATAAACATAAGCCGACGACTCGACGAGTAACAGAGAGAAATTATATAAAGTGTACTAGTATCTCATGTAATGTGTATAAAGTACCTAGATAGGTATATACCTAGTACCCACCTATCCATGAATATAACAGACAGACACATCGAGCAAGAAGGAAGAAAAGAATCAACACGGCCGACCGAGAGAAAGGGAAAATGCACGATTCGATCGTGAAGCGTGCCCAGGTGAAGGATGTTCAAAGCTTTTTCCCTCTCTCGATCCCCAGGACATCGCAATGTGAATCTAAAAGGAAGTGACGATCGACCAATCATATCTTCAAATTGCCGAATTATGCGAGGGAAAAGATATATTTGGCACGTTTCTCGTCTATGACCACTGCGAGTCTGCGATGGACTGGTCCTGATATATACTGTAGGTAACATATTATACAATCTTGCCCAAGTCATACTGGGGCGTCGATTTGGACTTGCATGAATCTCGAGAGGCTCAATCGGAGAAATAGATGAGACATCTGAATCTCTGGATACCTACTAGGGAGTATGGAGGCAGCTACCTAGTCTTCTCTCGATCTTGAAACAATAAAGTTACTGAGGAGAACATCATCCTTAAAAAGAATGCTGACTCATCATGTGATACTAGCATGGACATGATGGAATCGAACAATCAATCAATAAAAATAAATATCCTAGGGAAAAACATCTCTGATCAGTGTGAATGTGAAACTAGTAATAACTACCATGTGCATCTCAAGGCACATGCCGCGGAAGAGGAACGTATCATCCATCTCACGAGATACCGGTATCCCTAGATATACTAGGTATCTGCCGTATATTTCCCATGTTCCGGTCTGTCGATGAATGTCGATATCGATATCGATGATGATGATGATGATGATGATGATGATGATGATGATGATGCCTGTCTCGCTGGTTTGGGTTGACACTTTACATGCAGTGACGGTACATTGGACGGTATGAATATCCTTGCGTGCGTGCGTGCGTACATTGCACTTACATGTGCACTTACATTTGCACTTACTAATACACTCACACTCGCACTTCCACCTGCACTTCCACCTGCACTTGCCCTTGCCCTTCTAACTCTAACCAGACAGGTACGCACCCTCACCTAGCCCCCTCTCCCTAGTCACAAATCCAAATAAGTGGAGACTCACACCACATTCCGCGAATCGATCTGGATCTAAAGGTTTATCCGAGTACCGAGCCCCCTTCACACAAGTTACAACTAATCAGTTACCACTTACCATTTATCACTTACCACTTACCACTTACCACACCCCCGCCTTCAACTTTTGTTCTCCTTCTAGGTAGTCTTCTCCTCCGTCCCGAAGGTCCTAGGAGGTGCAGTAGGTCACACACATACCTGGGTAGGTCACTGGTATCGATTCGATCCATCCTAGATATCGATATTGAATATCGATACGATCGATGATCGAGAATTGAGCATCGATGATTGAGAATCGAGGGACGCTTGAGATTTGCCCATTCCTCCTTTTAATCTACGAGACACATGGGGGGGGGGTCTGGATACCAGGTATGTATGTAGTATGTACGGAGCAATACCTCCTGTTTGAATGCAATGGAAGTCTTGGACATACCTACAGCAAAACCTCTCCATAAGGATACCGGTTTTTGTAGACTTTTTTAAGGATATATAGAGGTATCCTTGTATAGAGGTATCCGACTAATCCCGACCCGGTAGTAATTGATTTCCGATTAGTCCCGATCGGGCCATTTCCGTGACATTTTTTAGAGTTTCAATTGAATCTCTTAAAAACCTCAGTATATTTATTATATAATAGCTAATCCTAATGATTCTACTGATTCAATAAGAATATTCATATGATTTTGGGATCGAGAAATATAAGGATATCCTAATAGAGAGGTTTTAAGGATATAGGCCTTTTTTAGCCCTGAAAATTTTTGGGACCAAAAAAATTTAAGAATAATAGAGGTTATCCTTATAGGGGGGATCCTTATAAAGAGGTTTTGCTGTACCTAGATATTGCATATTCACCGCTTGTTAGTTGTTACGAGTCCCGTACCGTATTATGAATTTCTGGTGATTCCGGACTCTTGTGCATTTCTTGTTTAGAAAAGCGTTGAGAATGAAATCGTATGTTTATTACAAATCGTATCTGGGTATCTACCTAGGTATCTACCCACGTACTTTCTCGTGATTAATCAAGTTACCTATGGCATGGCATCAGATTTGGCTTTACTTACGAATGACCCCTTTCTCATTTATCTCTGGTTGATATCAACATCATTATGAATCGATTACTTACTATCAAATACTCAGTCATCACATCACTTTTGTCACAGATGAGTTACTCACCTAAGCATGATATCCAACTTACAGCCATTCACTCTACCCTATTGTGATTATGATTATGGATGCGTATAAATAATATCCAGCTCAAACTATTACTCAGGTATTCAAAATACTATTAGTACTATCAGTACTATCTAGTAGGTATTCTTTACTGTAATCCTCTTATTATTATATAGAAATCACATTTTTATATCAAAAGCATTTTAGGGTTATCTTGAATTAATTATATTACGAATAGGATTTGAAGAGATAAATGATTAAATAGATATCTATCTATATTACAATTCATTATTAAATAATATCCAGCTCAAACTATTACTCAGGTATTCAAAATACTATCAGTACTATCAGTACTATCTAGTAGATATCCTCTACTATAATCCCCTCATCATCACACAGAAATCACGTTTTTATATCAAAAGCATTTTAGGATTATCTTGAATTAATTATATCACAAATAGAATTTGAAGAAATAAATGATCAGATAGATGTCTACCTATATTACAACTTATCATCAAATAATATCCAGCTCAAACTATCACTCAGATATCCAAAATACTACCAGTACTACCTAGTAGGTATCCTCTACCGTAATCCCCTCATCATCGCACAGAAATCACGTTTTTATATTAAAAGCATTCAAGATTATCTCGAATTAATCATATCACGAGTAGGATTTGGAGAGGTAGGTGATCAGATAGGTGTGGTGTCTACCTATCCATGGATATTACAACTCATCATCACATTTCAGAATCTAACGAAATGCTAACGGCCACACTTGAATCGAATCATCTATCCAGCCATCCAAGAGCTTTCTCTATGGTTCATGGAGCCCGAATTCGTGAGATGTTCATCTGCTAGGTACTAGGTACTAGGTACTCTAATTTATGCTGTAGCGTAAGTCAAACACGTGATTGCACTGAGTACAGTACCGAGTCCCCATCATGAATACCCGACATATATTCCTATCTGTGAGCATCTTGAGTCTCTTCCAAAAAATGAGAAATGAGAAATGAGATTGATTCTCTTGATTGGAAATGAATGATGATACCTATACATATCATGTCATGTCATATCAAATATATCCCATCTCATCCCATCTCATCTCATCTCATCCAAATTATCTATATCACCAAGCCGTTACCTGAATAGTTACCTATGTAGGTACCTATCAAACTTCCAACCCACAAACTTCCAAATACGCAAATCGAACACCTATCTACCTTAAAATACCTACCTAGATACATACATACATACATACATACATACATACATACATACATACATACATACATACATACATACATACATACATACATACAATCCAAAAGTCGCATCAAAGATCTTTCTTTAACAAACCCAATAGATGAGGAAGACTCTCGATTTCTAGATTGCAGATGTACTTCTAGATTGCAGGTGTAGATGTAACCTTACGGTACCTACCTAGGTACGATGTAGATATATCATAGGTGATCTTCCTTATTCGTTCTATCAATTTTTTTTTTTGGAAAGTTGATTTTTTGGAGGTGGGAGATGGGAGATGTATGGTGAGATGTAAGATGGGAGATGGAAGATGGGAGATGTGAATTGGAAAGGTATGAGATGTAACATTATGATAGATACCTAGGTATCTTGATGATGTATATAAAATCGAATCAGATCAGATCAGATCTCAATCTATATCTCAATCTATCTTTCAATTTATCTTTTAATTTATCTTTTAATTTATCTCTCAATTAATTTTTCAATCTATATCTCAATTTATATCTCAATTTATATCTTAATCTATATCTCAATCTATATCTCAATCTATATCTCAATCTATATCTCAATCTATATCTCAATCTCATATCTCATATCTCTGAAATACAAAAATACAAAAATACAAAGTATAAGAAAACAGGCTAAACGCATTAGGCGTATTACGTAATCATCTTGATTGATATAGTCAACTGGATTGTACATAGCTTTCAATACAATATGCACTACACTTAATACTAAAACCTTACCTACGATATACGTCTTTTCTGTATAAAAACATAAAAAAATAGATATAAAAATCCAAAAATTAATTATCAATCATTAATTACTATTATAAACTCACTCTTAAGTCTCGACTCTTTCATTCACCTAACAAGCCAATCCAATCCCGGCATCTCCTCGGCCCCAGTTCTACCTCTCACCTCTCACCCTCGAGTTACCCTCACTCTGAACGAAATAAACAGTATACCGAAAAAAGAATATTGTTTCTAAAATTCTCTTTTTAAACTTATAATCAATAATTTTGATTTTAAATTAAAGCAGATTATTTAAAAGCTAGCAATTTATCATAGTTCTTTAATTTATCTATCTTATTTTATTCTTTTAAATTGTTATCAAATTTTCAAATAATAATATTTTAAAGAACTAGTCTTGATTTTGACGGGTTTGGTATACCGTTTATTTGAGTCACCGCCATCACAGAACTCAAAAATGCCTCAGGCCCCCACATCCCATCGCGCGCAATAATTTTATATCAGATACCTAGACCGATAGAAAGCAAACCCTCACCACCGCATCTCTCCTCTCCTCTCCACCACACCCCAAATCCATCTCGAGATTTCACCATGGCGAAAAAAGGTATGTGCCTCATTCCTTATCCCTCATTCCCTCATTTCCCATCTCGCATTTCCCATATCCACTCCTCGATTTATTCTCTCTTCTCTTCTCTTCAATCCTCCAAGCTCCCCCTCCCCCTCCCCCGCACACAAACCCCAATCCAACCCAACCCTCACACAAAAACAAACCCAACAATATAAAAACATAAACTAACACCCCTCCCCTCCCCTCGCAGCAAAATCCCGTACAATCCCCGTCCGACTCATTTCCATGGCTCTAACGGGCTACTACAAGACGCTTATTCGGCCGCGGACGCATCGTCCGCTTAGTATGTTGAAGTATGATCCTGTTGGTGAGTTTTTTTTCTGAGATTTCTTCTTTGGTTGGGATTGGGTTTGAGATAGGTTTGAGAGGGGGATGAGGGGTTGTTGTGGAGGGAGAAGGAAAAAGAGGGGTTAGAGAGAGAATGCGAAATCGAGATGTGCTAGTGAGGAGAGAATTGAAAGCAAAGAGGGATTGCGATTGGAAAACGCAAATTGGGATTTCTCTCTATGATTGAGAAAATGGAGATGGAGATGCAGACCGAGACCGAGATTGAGATTGAGAGTGAGAAATGCGATTCGCGAATGAAACAGGGAGGATGTGGAATTGAGAAAGCACAAACTACGATGTGGAAATACATTAATTTACATTCGCATTACATTCTGTCGAACGAGGAAAAGGAAGGGAACCTCAAGGAAACCAAATTACATTCGAGTCACACTCCAATTGTCTACGCAGCATGTATACGGCCAATTCACCGTCTCGTCTCGCCTCGCCTCGCCTCGCCTCGCCTCATGGATACTTCATAAAATCCAAACACGTCTACGCGCTTCGACCTGTTCTCCTCTCCTCTCCGAATCTGTATTCGACTCCTTCACCTCTCTCTCTATCTCTCTACTATCACCAACTCGGAATCTCAATCCGCCAGCTCAATCTCATATCTATCTCTCCCACCCACTTCTCCTTCGCATTCCATCGCAACCCCCCCGCTTATCTCGAAAATTCCACCTCCGCCTCCAACCCCAAATCCACACTCCTCACACTCACACAGACCTCGACCAAATCCACCATTCCCATTACACTTCCCTTAACCTTCTCTAAAAAATTCAAACTGCAAAGCTAACCCCCTTTCCCCCATCTAGTTCGCAAAAAGGTCCTCTTCCTCGAACAAAAGCGTGGCGGTGGTGGTAAATAAATAAATAGATCAATCACAATCACAATCACATCCATATATCTATCTATCTATCTATCCATCCATCCATCAACCAAAACACCACACCACACCTAAACCACGCCCTCACCTCACTCCAACACAACACAACCCAAAAAGACAACGAACAACAACACATACACACATACACACATACACAGAAAACCCATCAAAAAAAAAGATACCAGAAAAGGCATGCGCGCAGTGACAGAGATCCATATATATGCTTGTGTGAGGAAAGGAAAGAAGGGAGGATCTATGGCATACCCATACCAAATAAGGGAGATAGATGATTATTTGGATGCATCCTCCGGTATTTGCTCTGGGATAATTTCAAAGGGGGGGGGGGGGGACATAAGAAGAAAATTCACAAAAAAAATGCCTTTATACTACACGAGGAGATACCATAGATTTCGTTGATTTGCCTGTGAGTGTGGATACCATTACTCAAAAAAAGAGTGTACGAATAGGTTGCATGGAATGGCGTATGGGATAACATCATGAATACAATCACCATTTTATTACTTGGAGTCACATGAGACACTGTAGTGAACATGATTTGATTGAAAATATATCAATGCAAATTTTAGGTTTCTAGATCATCTAGCAAAAATGATGCACATCTTTCGTCCCTCTACCTTCCCGACATATATAAGCGATATTTGCGAAACAGCGTGTTACATATTGTGGACCTGATCCCATACTTTTCTCATATCATGTAATAACTCTCCACCAGGCAATCCCTTTCAAGCCAACGAGAAACAGCCACTTCAAGTATGTTAAAAATATATTTTTCTCCTTCGATACACCAATTGCAAGTTCTTAAAGCAATATCATTTCTCTTTCGTACGTCCAAAATTGTGAAAGTTTGCAAACATGTACAGGGAGGGCAACAGTAAAGTGGTTGTTGACAATAAAACTCGAAGGAAATATGCTATCATCAGCCCAAGTTGGGCGAATTTCAATCCCGAGGCAGTCAAGTCAACGGTTGAGTATGATATTGCCTCCAAAGCTGTAGAATATCCACCTCACTGAGAGTCTGGAATGATTGTCTTGTTTATTGGCGGGCGGCGATTGATTCTTGGGGCTTTCGCAGGTTTGGTGGGTTGTAAATCCTGAGTATGAAGGGATGAATTTGATCTTGCTCTCTTCATAGCGTTTCGCTTGATCTCAGGTGTTGGCTCATATCGAGGTTCTGGTGCCCTTGAGCTTGCAACTTTTGGTTCTCCACTCGCAATACGATTGTAGCTGCCTGTACCAGTCCCACGGGTCGCTTGAAGTCCGATACTGGAACCGTGATTGTTTCCTAGTGCCGGCTTTTTGAAAACTCTCTCGTCTTGGTTATGAACTTGATCTTGTGAAGCATCGTGAGGAATAAAATAGTCCTGGTAGTCGCCTTTCTTCAAAGCGGATTTAAGTGGCTTGTTCGTTCGGCGTTGAACAGATTCTTCTGCAACTGAAAGAATGGTCCTGGACGCTTGAGTTGGTGTATCGACAAATTCTCCTTCGAGAGTAAGCATGACTTTGTTAATTTTAGATTTTGGGGTACCAAGGTGTTCTTCTTCATAAGGATAGTACTTGGGTCGACTCTCCATCTGTGCAATCTTATCATTCGATACCTGACGATTTTTGTTGTATACTCGCTGTAAATCCTCTCGGCTATGTGCAGATTGAACCATTGGCATAACATCCTCCAAATCAGTCAAAGGGCTTGTTGCGAGAGTAACAATAGTAGAAAATGGTTTAATTGGAGTCTGACTTCCGCCACTGTTGTCACCATATGTTTGCGAAGACGATAAAGTTCGTGAATGTTTTTTGTTTACTTCATCAGTCGGGAATTCACGGACTCTATGTTGATTTTCTCCCATGCCGTTTTCAAGTGGTTGATAATGGAAATTGCTAGATCGCCGCTCAGCAGGTCTGCGTGAAGACGATCGATTATCGTTGCGCGATGTTGGTTGAATCTCATCAAAACGATGAGAATTGCCAATCAAATTTTGAGTACTTTTAGTCATCGCATTCATGTCCTCCAAACGCTTTCGTAAACGATCATTATCCTTCATCAGATGCCCATTTTCTTCAGTGATTCCACGGAGTCTTCTATGAGCGCCTTCAAGTTCATCTTTGATTCTAAGAATTTCCTCTCGACAAGCTTGTGATGATGCATTTTGACTTGCCTGCTCTTTGCGAATTGAGAATATCTCTTGTTTGTGTTCTTGTTTTAATTTCTGAAATTGATCAGGGGATATGGATCTTGCCTCTAAGCTTTGAAGCTGAAGCTTTTGCTGTAATAACTGGTCTTTGTATGCAGCTATCTTCGAATCACGCTCGCTGATGGTTTTTGTATGCTTATCAGTCGTCTCCTTGAATGCCTTTGATTCCTCAATTGCGGTTTTGAGTCTCTCCTCAGTTTCTGCTTGTTTATGTTTGAGGTCATTCACTAAGGAGTCATGCTGGGCGAGTAACTCCTTTCTTTGAGAAAGAGCAAGCTGTGTAGTCTCCTGTCGAACTCTTTCTGTGGTTGATCTGCAATCCATTTGAAACTTTTGATTCTCTATTTCTAATGCCTTCATGGCAGACTCGACATCTCGAAATTTTTCTTCTGTATCGCGTAACCGTTTTTGCGTAGTAGTAATTGTCGTTTGGTGAGTTTGGATATCTTTCTCGGCTTGAAGCTTTTCATGGTTGGCAGCGGTAAGAAGGCCTTCCAGTCTAGAAGTCTCAGTGGTCAATTCGTCGACCTTTCTCTTCAATTTGGGGTCTTCTCTCGGTTGAGCAAGTGAGATTGCGAGTTGTTGGGTTTTCTCCATTAACTCTGAATGAACACCTGCCAGCTCTCTAGTTAATTCATCCATTCGGGCGACATTTGTCTCCAAGTCCGCTTCTTTTGATTTCAGATTCGCCTCCAATTTGGCGTTGCTCTCTCGGAGCATATTGATCTGCTCACTAAGCTTGGATTTTTCATCCATATCACCGCTGATTTGGACGAGACGTTCCTTAAGATCATCAAAGAGCTTGACAGTAGACTCCTGGAAAGTAATATCCTTGCTACCGTTATCATCAAATTTCGTTTCAATTCTAGAGTAGAATTCTTCGAGAATCTTCGTCAGAGTTTGTGGCCACTCCAATGTTTGGTTGAAAGAATTGGTGAATGTTTTTGATATTTCGTCAATCTTTCCATTGACACATTCGGCAGAATTCAAAACCTTTTTGAGAATCCCGTCTTCTTTTGTGAGTTCTCCGAGGGTGTCGACTGGTGGTTTTTTGAGAATTTCCATGACTTCTTTGTGGCGATCCATGTCGCCATTGAGTTGATTTTGAAGTTGCTTCATGTCATGACGTACTTCTTCTAGTTCCTTCAACTTTAAGTTATAATCAGCCTTGAGGCGTTCATTCTCACATTGAAGTTCTCGAGCCTGCTTGATGTCCTCTAATAAACATCTCATTTTCTTCATTCGAGCATCAATCTCCATAATCTGTTGAATCTTTGATGCTTTGAACAACATTTCCATCGATGCCTTCATCTCCTTTGATTCTCGTCTAAGACTCTGATGGCAAACGACAACATCATTGATGTGTATTTTGTAGTCATTGGATAAAACATTCAATCTCTCAACTCTCTTTGACAATTTATCTTTGCTTTCCTCCAATTGTTCGTTGATTAGATTTGCAACTTGCAACTGATCATTGAGAATTGCAATCTGATTCTCTTGATCTTTGATAACAACTTGTTGTTTCTGGCACTCAGCGACAAAGTTATGAAGAGCATCGAAATCTAGGGAAGATCTCTTTTGGCAGCTACTGACGTGATCTCCGGTTTTATTGTTTTTATCTTGAGAATGCACAGCTGCTAATTTGGTGACTTTGGAAGCACTAATATGACTCAATGTTACCTCAGATATTCCTTGAGGTTCAAGGTCATGGGGTTTAATTGGTCTATTTACGACTTTTCGCTGAGCCTCATGTTCACCCTGAGTTCGTGGAGTTGTTTGAAGTCGAGGTGTCTGGGTTCGGGATATGTTTGCTTGAGATACAGTGCGCGAAGGTTCAGGATGGCCTGGCTGGAATGTGGGATTCGGAATCGATTGATTAAATTCATCAGCAGAATCTTCTACTTGTGGATTATCCTCATATTCTACAGAATTCGCCGTGGAATCTTCCGTTCTGCCATCCGAGACTTGAATTTGAGAGTGTTCAAGAGGATCAGCATTCTTCACTGACTGGTTCATCGATCCTCGTTGGACAAGTTTGTCATTGGTACGTGATCTCTGGGGTTCTGATCCCAGGGATGCTTGAATCTGCTTTGATAGCTCTTTCTCAGCAGACCGAATTTCTGAATGCTGGGGTTGTGGTACTGGTACTGGAGGTTTGCTTGGCTTTTCTCGCTGTGCTTGCAATTTTGGTTCGTCCGCGAAAGCTTCTGGGAATGGACATTTCTTGACTAAGTTACCGTAAACATTGATTTTGCTCACGGCGAGACGATTCATTCTACGAGAGAGTCAGTCGATAAACTTCGGACGAAAGGGTAGATATGCTTACTGATTTGAAGACTTTTGTCTTAGCCGGGGACGATCCGCATAATTGGTTGGCGTAGCAGCA